GCTTAATCATCACCATGTATCATCTCCTTAACCATCCAATACCATAATCTTCAAGGAAACACAACAAATTTAAACCATGAGCATCATCACAATGCATCAAACAACCATAACATCACATTGTTACACACCCACATACATACATGTCTAAACAGATTTCAAAACAAATTCAATTTGTAAAACAAACTCACAAAAACAAATTAAGTCAAAATATATTATCACACGTTTTTTCCACATGTACAAACACACTCTATAAAGAAACCTCTGACTCATTGCAATGGATCAACCATTTTCATATTGTTATGCTGCTGAAGTTGAAACCAAATCCTAAAACTATAATCCTAACTTCTAAGCATCAACAACATATAGAAGAAGAGTAGAAATAAGAGAGCAAGTGAAGAGTAAAGATAGATCGAAAGAGAGAGCAAGATAACATACCATCTTCGTCACCCGTTGGAGTTTGTGTCGGGCATTGCTCCGGTCAGGTATTCTTTAAACTTTCTTTAAGAGTTTTTTGTTTAGGGGTAGTGGGCACCGGAGAAAACTGATGCACATAAGTTGATGATATGTTAGGTTTTTCTTTAGAGAGAAACAACTGTTATAAACTGAGTGACAAATACTTTCATTTATATATAAACAATATCACTTTTCATCACGGTTGAGAAGATGAACCGTGATGATATATTATTTTAAATAAAAAAATAAAATATATCACAACGGTTGAACAAAACAACCGTAGTGATATCCATTTTAATTTTTTATTTAAAAATAAATAAAAAAGACACGACGTACCTTAACGTTAAAGGAATAAAACATTTGAGGGTGTTGGGGTTCGAATCCATGAAAGCTTGATTGTAATCATTAATATGTTATTATAAATATATATACATGCTCTCAAGAATCAATAATTCCGATAGAGACGATATTTATCTTGTATTTGATTACATAATAATCACACTCACATCCTCCTAAATGTTTCTTGGTCTACAAATTTAAACATTACAAAAATATATAACCACACATATAATTATAGATAAATTAATGTCACAAATAATACACTTACCAAATGCATAAAAAATATGGGTCATTTTCTAACTTTGTAGAACACATTGGTTCCCTCCACAACTCTATATATTTAAAGTAATTTAAACATTACACGCTAAACTAATTACAAAGTCAAAGAAAATATTACTAAAAGTCTCATAAAATACGTAGAAACTATACATTTCATCTTTAGTTCAAGTGGTTTGGCTAAGGAACATAGCAGAATTACCATATTTTATTGAGGACAAATGATAATCAATTGTCAATGACCACTGAATGAACACGGTCATAATTAATAATTAGTAAAATATGGAAACTAAATATAATAGAGAAACCATTATTACTCATGAATCAATAAATGGTTTTATGTAACCGTCCTTTTCCCCATCTCTTAAGTGTGATGATATGTATGTTTTAATCACTTTTGAAGAATTATTTGTAAATCTAACTAAATAGGTCCAAGAATCCATAAATATCTGATTTATTTGATTCTATAAAAAAATAATGCATGTACCTAGATGGTTAAACAAAATTCAAAACTACTAATGTGCATAAATTTAAAATTGACATTTATTAGCATAGAAATTGTACTTATGTGCACCACAATTGTAGTATTGTTATGACCAATAACTCATTTTCAACAGGAATTTTTTTTATATCTTTATGATCGAGATAAAAAACCTCTAACTCTGGATAATGCTCTATTTGAAGAGGAACATGTTCTTTAATATTCATAATGAAACATACCAATTTTTTTGAAGAATCGTCGTCTCATTTTGGGTATAGGTATGGATGGATAAACAACTCGCTTTTATGCTTGCACCACCTAAAACAACTCTACCAGGAAACTCATTCTCTTTATTTATACTCGATTTTACGGTTACATCCATCGGTGCCAATTTATGCATCATAAAAATAACAACAACACATAACATGTATGTCATGTTATAATGCCACAAAACATATGCAACACACAAAACACTATTTTCACATACTTCACAAAGCTCCTCAAACTCTTTCTTGCGCATTTCTAGATTATGTGTTAATATTTCTTCCAACTTCTTATCATACATCTCATTCACTCTTTAATTTGGGATTCATGTTCTTGTGTTAATCTTTCTTCCAACTTCTTATCGTACATCAAACTCTTTCTTTTGGAATTCATGTTCATGTGCTAACTTCTTATCAACGAGTTTTTCCATCTCTTCCTTTCATAAATATTTACTCTTTCTCTATGTAATAAAGAATAATATCAGGCTAATTCCTTCTCCAACACCACGTACACGTCTACCATGCTTATTTATTTTGATTGCTTATACTAATATATCATGTCATACTTGTGGAACAAAGAAACCTTGAATGACCATATCAACCAATAAATCATACACAACATGAATAAGACATTATTACCAAATCGATTTAAATTACACATAATGAATCCTCCATTTAAGATTCCAATATAAAAAAGAATTTACTTACAATCTTTTCAACGACTGCACGTAAGGAATCTGAAGTGGACTCTCCAGGTTGTCTTTGTCGGGCCCTCGTCTACTTCTTTTGTCGTGATTGTGGAGATGGACGGCAATCACAATTTATTGAGTAATCTCCCAGTTGTTGTTTTTTCATTAATCAATACTTCCTTGTTTAGCTTTACTGATTGACTTTTAATCTGCTATAGATATAGTGAAAATATTAATATACTTGGTTGTATCTGAAAATCATGAGCACAAAATTATTCTTCAGAAAATAATATTATTACTAACCAATAAATTAACAAAACTACAAGACTTGCCAAACTTCTCCTAAACATGTTTCTCAATAAAATTATATTTCACAGTTGGATGCTCAAGATCATACTTAAGTTTCGTAATGTAATCACGCGTGACATATGACTTAAAGCCCCTTCAATGCTCGTCAGCATAAGAGATCCGCTTATTCTTTAACTTATCCCCATTACCAAACTTAAAAGTCGACTAAAGTTACATCAATATGTATCTATTAGCAAAATATTAATATCAAAATATTATTCTTTCACATCTTCTGATACATGGGTCCAATCATTTATCAAAATATTCACTTTGCTACGTCCAAGGAACACAACATAACTCTTAAAAAGGAAAGCATTTGTACCATAACAAGTTCATGTTTTATCATTAAAATTGATCGACAATCCATTACTCGAGTTGTTGACTTTATTTAATTTATCCATCATTGTAGCACCTCTAAATTTTATTTATTTTTATTTTCTGTATAGTAGAACACTCATTTGTATGAGTGGTGCTAGATGAATAGTTCATCTATGTCCAAAACAATAGCTAAAGAAAAACAATAACATAACATTAAAAAACAACAACATTATCCTCAATCATTCAATGCAACAACATAACTAAAAAATCTTCACTTAACCTTCAATAAATCAATAACAACAACAACATATGAACCTTCAATAACTCAATAACAACAAAAACTTTAAAATTTCATTATTTAATAACAATAAAACTACGACATCTCTATAACACAAAATCATCAATAAATTAATAACAACGACAACACTATATTTAACCATCATTTTACTCAACAATAACAACAACGACAATAAACATATCACTAAACATCAATAATAACAACATAATAAAAATATATCTTAACAAAACAAATAAGATAAACCCTTCAATAACATTATCACCACCAACAACAAATAAACTTTTAGGGTATGGATACTAAACATCATTATCAACAACAACAACAACATAATCACAACATATCTCAAGAAAACAATTAAGATAAAACCTTCATTAACATTCTCACCATCAACAGCAAGTAAACCTTTAGGGTTTTGGTATTAAACATCAACAACAACAACAATATAATCACAATATATCTCAACAACATTAATGTTACATGCGTGATAGAGATATTTTATGTACCAGAAACGTGATGAAGAAGTCAAAGATTTAAATCGTATGAGTTTTGTTCTTTGTTCTTGCAGGTATCATTTGTGTTCTTCATTCAAGTTTTTCCTTCATATTTCGTTGTTTTGTACGTTTACTAAAGAGATATTAATGGAGTGTTTTCCATGTTTATTGAATGATAGGATAACACGATGGTTGAAAAATGTGATGGTAAATAAATGGAGATTACATGATGGTGAAATGAAGATGAAGTGTGTTTAGGGTTTTCTTCATTAATGAAAATGAAAAACTTGTTAGGGTTCAAAGTGATGAATGTGTGTTTCGTAAGGATATAGAAACTAAATAGATGTGACAAGCTAAACTTTGTTTCTTGAATAAGAATATAATATTTCACCACGGTTGGTTAAACAACCATTGTGATATCATGTTTACTTAATTTAGTTTTAAAAAAGCCCCAATTTTAACCATATAAAAAAAATAAAACATATCACCACGGTTGGAATATCAAAGTGTAGTAAAATTTGACTTATATCTACCATATAAGAACCTTAGTGTTTCTGGAAAATATGATTCTACCCTTGCCTTATAATTTGCCACTACACCAAAATAAGGGTATTTTGTATCTAAAAAATATTTTTCCAACTAATGATGTCACTTAGTTCTATTTCAATTATAAAGTTGTTGTTTTTTACCTTTGATAATTATGCTGAAATGGATTGATGATATCACTTGGTCCAATTTAAATGATATTTTACTATTTTCTCTTCTTTCAATGTATACTTTAATTCAAATTTCAAACTTCATGAAATTCTTATCTTTATCTCTCGTCCTTTTTTTCTTTCTCTCTTTCTCTCTGAAGTTTTCTTCTTCTTCCTCTTTCTTTTCGTCTTCCTCTTCCGCTTTTTTCTTCTTTCTTTTATCTAATTTTTTTCTGTATTCAAAAATCAAAAGAATCAAAACATTGATCAAAAGAAAAGGCTACGGTGGTGTGAATAGGGGAGAGGGGGACGAAAGGATATTATGTCGGTGATGTCGGATTCGTAAGGAATGTGTGGTGGTAGGACACTGTTTATGGTATTTGAAGGTAATATTTTATACCTTCACTCCAAGTTACTTCTGATATGTTATGTTCTTCCTATTCATCCTTTATGCGATAATCTGTGACATCGATGTACCAATTATTTTGATATTTGAAACCGATGATTTGCTATTAACAATATCTGGATCTGGTTTTTCAATGATGTTTCTTCTTATTTGTTTCAGTTTGGTTGTGTTGGCTCACGCGGAAGGGGGGAAATGCATGGAAGATAGCAATTCCGGTGAAGATTAGGGTTTTGAAACTTTAGAAAGCAACATTGGTGTGCTTCAGAAATATTATTCTCCTTGGTAATAGACTATTTTTGAACAGAAGAATGTTATTGTGTTTGTTTGAGGATTAGAGAAACAATATAATGCAGAATGTAACTATGTTTGTCAAGATTATATTGGAGTTTTAAAATGAAGTTTTGTTTTTTTCCCTAGTTTTATACAGGTACTGGAGATGTTGGTATATCAGTGTCATCAAGATGATAGATAGAGACAATGGTAAGTTTCCTACATATATATAACACCTTCACTAAACAGTTTTTTTGCGGCTATAACAGTGTTATATCGATGTTGTTGCATACTTTCCAATCCAGGTTGTAAATGTTCCTGAAAAGGGAGCTCGAAATCATCTGATAGGTGAAAATACTCATGATTGATTGAAGTTATTTGATTTAATTATTTGTAGTATTTTCTTAATAGTGCGTTGGAGCTTTTGGTGCATAATCTACACCGTTTGTTGGAGTCTGATCCTGATGAGAATGCATCTATTTATAATATGCTTTCTACAATTGAGAATTTGATTGAGGTGAAACTTGATGTGACGGTGGTGGTTTGCAAGAAGACAAAGTTGTTGAAGTGGTTGTTGGAGAATATTAAGGTGATGAGTTTGATGGGAATAAGCAACATGCGTCGGAGATTTTGGCAATTTTGTTGCAGAGTAGTTATGTGAATCAGAAGAAGGTGAGGGAGATGAATGGTGTCAATGTGGTGCTTCTGGTTATGCCGATGTTTAAGTCGAAGGATCCTAAGAGTTTGGATGAGGAAGAAATGGTGGAGAATTTGTTTGATTGTTTGAGTTTTTTGTTGATGTCGTTGGAGAATAAAGAGAGGTTTGTGAAAGCGGAAAGGGTTAAGTTGATGATACTTATTATGTAACAGAAGAAATTGGCTTATGCTTCTTCTATAAGGGCTATTAATTTTGCAATGACTAACTCTACTCTCCTGCTTGTGAATGTTTTGTTGATGTTTTAGGATTGAAGACGACTTTTACATCTTTTATGGGTAAGGCAAGTGTTTCTGCTTTTGCCACTTTAACCAATTTTGTAGAACCTTCAAGAGTTTATTTGTTGTATTGTGCGATGTTTTTGTTATCTTATAAATGGGTTGCACTTGTGCTAAAAGGTTTTGTTTATTGTTCATAGATTCTCATCACTAACAAGAACAAGAAAGAACGGTACCATGAGGAGTTAGAAGAGCGCATTGTGTCTCTGGTTACTTCATTATTCGGTAAGCAGGCAAGTCAAGCTTCAATCGAGTTTTAACATACTATGTGTACTCAATGTGCTTTTCCCTTACAAGTTATGTGATATTGAATTTCACTATACCATATTCTCTACCGGTGAAGTCTTAAGTTGTTTTGAGAATGATGGATACAACATGTACAATACCCCTTAAATTTTATGTTGCAAATAACTCGCTATAGAAGAATAACATAGCGGTGGTAGGTTCCACACTTGCTATCAGTCCGCAAGCCACTATTTGTATAACAACCATAAACTGTTATCCTGTCTGCTATTAGGTTTTCAGGGAGAAATCGACCAAATCCTTTTTTTAAACCATTGTCTTTTTTAAGGGTAGAAATGTCAATTGGAATATTTTAAATGTTAATAATTGGAATATTTTAAATGTTAATGTTTTGATCTTTATTCTATTATGTTAAGTTTTGTATTGTAGGTTCTTTAATTATATTAAGTATGATGGTATCTTTAATTTTGGGAATTTTTTCTATTTTTAAATATCTGTTTAATTATGTTATAAAACTGCATAAAAAGTATGTTTTATGAGAAGATGTAAAACAATGAAGACTTAATGGATAATTTATCCTCACGGAAGTGGTAGATTTAACCACCATCAAATTTCAATTTTAAACTGGCACTAAATTATAGTACTTGCCTTGTGTATTCAAAATAGAGGCTATAATTGTATCCATTATTCAGTGTGGCTAATAAGTAAAAGGATTTCAGTAATTTGTTATGTCGTGTAAATTCTAAACTAATTGGTTATTTTCTGCTCCTTTTTAATGTCCATGCAGCTGCTGTGAGGAAGGAAATAGCAGATGAAACAGATAGAATAACAGAGAAGTCAAAGCAGATTTTACATCATCTTATTCACCTCAGCATTTATTCTTCAAATGGTTTGTAGCTGCATTGTTCATGTATGTCATGATATATTAAACACGGATCCAATTTGATTGGGGGCTTTTAGAATTGTCTAGAGTTACCTTTTAATGTCTTTGATATCATTGAGAAGCAATATATACTCCATAGTGTTGGGGGAGTTACTTCCCTCAAGTGTGAGTCAACAATGCTCTCCCACTTATATTGTTGTTAACATTTTACAATGGGACACTACTTTCTGGGTAAGACTCTGATATCATATTGGAAGAGTTATTAGGAACATCGATACATAATATAGGAATAAACACATTTGTAAGAGACACACCACTTATCCTCCTAAAATCTTAAGGTGATAGGTGATTGTGTTCTCTCACTTATATATTATCAAGTCTCTAGATTTCTATCTAATGTGTGACTCTTTCCTCATTTACTCACATTTGCTATATTATTCCAACACATAACATGACAATTGGGGTAGTTTTCATGCAGATCCCACTGTATCACATGGGTTACACTTACAATACTGAGGTCCAAAATAAGCTAAACTTTGTACTAATTCTTCTGGAATACTAATCTTTAAAATTCACTTGTCCTTTTATAGTGGTGTACCATTTTAATTAACTATGATTTGTTTGATAAGGTAATTATTGTTAGTTGGTTAATTCTTGTTATGTAGTTATTTGGACTTTTAGCATGTATTTGGGCCTGGACACTTTGCCTATATAAAGGATCATTATGGTTGTAATATAGTAGTAGCAATAATAATATATTCAGTTGATAGTTAGTTACACTTAACTAAATCACAATATTCTCTCTTCTTCTTCTTCTTCTTCTTCTTGTTTTTCACAATATCATATTTCTTGAATCCTTTGTTCCAACAAATTGGTATCAAGAGCTTGTTTGTGATTCAGAGAGAATCTAATGGCAAACAGATCAATAACATCAACACAGTTTCCAGCGAATCTACTGGTTTTCAAAGGTGAAAACTATCAACAGTGGGTTGCGCAAATGAAGGTTATTTTCATATTTCAAGATGTCGTAGAAATCTTGAATGATGGAATATCAGAACTAGAAGTAGATGCTACGGAAGCCCATAAAGTTGCGCACAAAGATCAGAGGAAGAAAGATGGCAAGGTGTTGTTCTTGATTCACCAGTGTGTGGATTGTGACATATTTGAGAAGATAATTGAAGAAGAAACAGCAAAAGGAGCTTGGGAAAAGCTGAAATCTTTGTATGGTGGAGATGAGAAACTGAAGAAGGTGAAGTTGCAGACTCTGAGAGAGAAGTACGAGATGCTTCAGATGAAAGAGGATGAATCTATCTCTGCATATTTCTCAAGAGTGGTGACGCTAACAAACCAGATGAAGGCGTGTGGTGAAGCGCTTACGGATCTGCAAAAGATAGAAAATGTATTGAGATCTCTAATTGCAGATTTTGATTACTTTGTTGTAACAATTGAAGAGGCCAAGAATCTATCTGAGATAAGTTGGAAGAACTTTAAACTTCATTGGAGGCTCACGAAATGAGGCTGCAGCAGAGAAACTCAAAAAGAGAGAATGCAGCTGAATAAGCATTGTAATCAAGATTCAACAAGAAAGCTGGAAAATAGAAGTCGAAGCAGCGAAAGAATCTTGCTGGTGATGAGAAGTCAAGCAAGAATACTGATTTGAAAGGTGTGGGCAACAAGTATTCTGAGAAGAAAGTTGACACAAAAGAGGTGAAATGTTACAACTGTCAAGGTTTTGGCCATTATGCTAGAGATTATCGAAGAAAGAAAGCTGCAAAGTCGAAAGATTGTGATGAAGCTCAATATGCACGAGCTGGAAGTAGTGATTTTGATGATATGTTGTTGCTGGTGAACACTCAGTCGACTACTGAAAAAAACAACATGTGGTATCTGGATTCAGGATGTAGCAACCACATGATTGGCAATAAAAAGTGGTTTACCAAGTTAGATGAGCCAGTCGAAAAGGTGATAAAGTTTGCAGATGGCAGGCATATCAAATCAGGTGGTAAAGGAGATATTTTGATTATCATAAAGGATGGTCGAAAGGCTACTATCACTGAAGTTATATATGTATCTTCTATGACAAGTAACTTGATAAGTGTAGGTTAATTACTTGCAAAAGGATTCAATATTAAGTTAGAGAATAATCAGATGAAGGTATATAGAGTTGATGGGAGGCTAATAATGAAAGCACCATTTGCGGAGAACAAAATGTTCAAGGTTGAACTTAACACATCAGATCACAAATGTCTTGCTTCAACTATAGAAGAAAACAAGAAATGGCTATGGCATCACAGGTATGCACATCTAAACTTCAAGATTTCATGTATGCTAAATAAGAAAAGAATAGTGCTTGGATTGCCGTATATGAAGGAACCAAAGCAGATATGTGAGGAATGCTGCAAAGCCAAACAGACAAGGAAGGTGTTCAAACGTGACTTGCCTATAAGATCAAGGCAAAAACTGATGTTGGTTCATTCAAATGTGTGTGGCCCCTTTGAAGTAAAGTCTAATGGAGGTAACAAGTATTTCCTTACTTTCATTGATGAATTCACTAGACATATGTGGATTTACCTTATTGAAAGGAATATTGAGGTATTCATATAGTTTAAGAAGTTCAAGTTGCATGCTGAGAAACAAAGTGGCTGCAAATTGGAGAAGTTAAGAACTAATGGTGGTGGTAAATATACTTCTGCTGAATTTGCTAGGTTTTGCAATGAGGAAGGTATAGAGCATGAGGTTATTGCACCCTATACGCCTCAACATAATGGCATAGCTGAGAGAAAGAATAGAAGTATACTGAACATGATGAGATATATGTTGAAAGCTAAGAATATGCTTAAGAGATTTTGGGCTGAAGCAGCTTCGACAGCAGTATACATTCTAAATAGATGCCCAACGAAGAAGATGGTCGAAAAGACACCGCATGAGGCTTGGACATGGTCGGAGACAAATGTAAGTCATCTTAGAGTTTTTGGATCAATGTGTTTCAGACATGTACCTGAACAATTGAGAAAGAAGCTGGATGATCAAAGTGAAGTCATGGTGCTCATAGGTTATCATTCGACTGGTGCATACAAGCTGTATTCACCAATCGAAGATAAACTAGTGATCAGCAGAGATGTTCTTATAGACGAAAGCAAAGGGTGGGATTGGAGTCGAAGTTCAGTCTGACAAGAATCAAACACAGCCACAACTGTGTTCGAAGAAGATGAATAGAATGAAGCTTCGATAAGTCGAAATGAAGAACCATTTGTGCAGAATGAAAGAAGATCCACAAGAATAAGAACTGAATCGACTAGGCTAATTGGATATGAGAGGTTTCCAGATTATGAAATCGATGCAGATGGTGACTTAATCGAAGAAGCCATGATGATGGCTGAAGCAGAACCAATTGATTTGGAAGAAGCCTTGACCAATTTAAATTGGTGTAAAGCCATGAAAGAAGAACTTAAAGCCATTGAGAAGAACAAGACTTGGGAACTTGTCGAAAGAACCAACAAGAAACCAATTGATGTGAAATGGATCTACAAGGTGAAACAAAGGAAAAATGGTGAGATTGCAAAGTATAAGGCAAGACTGGTGGCCAGAGGTTTTCTACAAAAACCTGGTATTGACTTTGATGAAGTATATGCGCATGCTGCAAGGATCGAAATAATCAGGATTGTTGTTTTGATAGCTGCATGTAGAGGATGGAAAATGCACCAACTTGATGTAAAGTAAACATTTTTGAATGGTCCTTTGGAATAAG